ATAGAAACTTTTATTTTTTTTTCCGATCGAGAGGAAGATGATGACGAAGAAGAAGAGACAGCCGTGTTTTGTCAATTTTAATTAGTCTCTCCATGTTTTCAACACTACTTTATCAAGTGGGCTTTTACTTTTGGGCTTTGTTATTTTATTTTTTTCGTCATACTTTTGGGCTTTGTTACTTTTTTTTGTTTTTGTGTGTTTTTAATAATATGAAACAACAGAAAAAGGGGAGAGAAAGAGTGATGTGGCAGAATAGAAGATTATTATTGGCAAATAAAGTTGAGCTGTATTATTTAAAATGTTTTGATTAGAGTTTCTTTTTAATGATGTGTCATAACCAGGAAAGCTGAAAATGCTGATGTGTTAGATTAGGAGAGAATCCAATTGTTATTATTGTATTAATCCTATTGTTATTTTGAAAATTTTTATTTAATATAACTAAATAAAATTTTATAATTTAATGTTTTATTTGTATTTAAATTGTAATTATTTTTACTTCTAGGGATTAGTTTTTTATTTATGTAATTAGACTTTGTAATTATAATTATAGTCTCTATTGCCAATATTAATATCTAATGAAAAGATGATGTTTCAAAAGTAAAATTCTAGTATATTTTTCAGTTAATAATTTATTTTCGTAGCAAAGGTTATTTTTTGAATTTTTTCTTTAGTGATTTGCTATAATTAAATAAAATTTTTGAACTTAATTGTTTACCTTTATACCACTCGGAACCAACTAAATAACTTTATTTTTAAAAAAACTATCTTTATTTTCAATGCCAGTTTTCAAAAATGTCACATTTTTAAACCTTATAAAAAATGCTCCAAACAATATGAAATTTACCCAAATACATATGTAACATTATTAAAACATATACAAACTATCTTTATATGTATATAAAATCTTATAAATACCGTATAAAACCTTTAAAAACCTTTAAAGAATATAAATTAATTTATATAATTTAAATCTTATTAATTATTTTATATCTTTTGCAACTTTAAAGAATTAATAATTAGAATTTTCAAAAATCGTATTAGCTAGAGACACTGAATTAATTACCATGTTCAGTTTTGTTTCGTACTTATATTTTGATTAGATATCAATTCTAATGATGTGTTACTCTGAGAATAGCCTAAAAAGCTAATGTATAAACACCATCAATTTTTTTTAATATTATCCTTTTTATAATAAAAATTTTATATTATCACATATATTACATATTATCTTTACAAAAATATATAAACTATTTAATTATATATATGATATACTAGGGCAGTTACCCGCGCCTTGCGCGGTAAGTCGATTTAAAAAAAAAATTCAAATTATGAAGATTAAAAATGGTTTACCGATTTAAGATATGATAGACTTATTACAAATTTCTAACATAACGTGTATGGTATAAATGATTTATCCATCAATTATGGCTCATTAGAACACCAAACAAAGCAAACATTTTTTAAAACTTCTCCATGACCCATTCAATCATCCGACTCTGAATATATTACATTCTTTTTAGCCCAAGTAAAAGCCATTGAGAGTGTAATATGTATAGAAAACTTGCTAGGTTATTATCCAAAACAAATGCGAACATCCAATATTATATATAATGATAAACCCTGCATATTACCGTTCCTTGATCTCTTCAATATCGTAAAACTACGGAAAACATTGAAATATTGATGATAAAAACTTAGGTATGAGATCTCAAAATTCGACCATAATATTACAAAAGATGAAGCATACTACTGTCTCTAAAAATAAGTAATTATACATTACTTAAAACCCATAACAACACAAGACTCATTGATAATATTTGTAGAATATTCCATGGTCACTCAATCATCCAAATCGGAACATCTTGAATTCATAGCGGCCCAAGCATAAGCGGTGGAGAGTGTACTATATATATAAAATTGTAATAGATCATTAAACATATGAATTACGTATATGCAACAAATATATGATTAGAAATACCGAATATTACCGTTCTTTGATTTCCTCAAGTTCGTAAAACTCCGGGTCAAGATGAAATCTAGAGCATCCAACCATATTCATGAGACACGGTTTTCCTGTAAAATATTAAATTGGATGAGAGAAAATAAGATAATAACCGGTTAAATTTTGGTTGTTGGAAAATACGATGAATATATATAAGTCAATACCTTTATACTCTTCAACATGCCAAAATCTCAAAACACAAAATACAGGATCACGAAGGTACGAATGAACATATTCTCGGTTTACCCATACTCTCATAAAATAATCGGCTAAATCTCCTATCGCGCAACATCTCAATCTCAATCCCCTATTAATTTTCAAACCAGAACCAAATGTCATAAAAAAATGAATTCTTCCATACAAATCGAAAAATGAACTCACCTATGATTCTTTAAGACGAAGTAGACACAGTTACATCCTATACCCCCTTCGTATTGTCCAGAAACATAAGGGATCCGTATGAGGCGGTCGATATAAACGATAAATCCCACCGTATCTAGATTTAAAGTATTCGATTTATTAGCTATCCCATTATTTCGTTAGAACCAATCAAAAAAAATATTGAAATAAAAAAACGTACCAATCGGAATTTCGGTCAGGATCCTCCATCCCCTTATGCGGCTAAATCTTAGAGGTTCAATACACTTACTTGGTGACCGCTCATACGTGCTGGTCATTTTAGTTGGTCGATGGAACCATATACGGAACATATTGGACGTGTTACTCATCATCTCCAGCAAGTACAGAACCAAAAAATTAGATAAAAAGTACCATGTGTCCTCCCTCAAGCCAGTTATATTATCATGATCAAACAGACCACCGGAAATAGTAGCTTCAATCTTAGTCTCCTAAATAATAAGAATAAGATAAGCATGAAGTTTTTAAGGCAAATCACGATAAAAAACAAAATTCCGAACGTGAAAGTAGTGTATAACCTCTAAATCCGCAAGAATTGTGTAACTTCTGGTCGGGACTCCCAAAATTCTCAAACCAAAAAACCAAAACCTTTACACATATGACGCGATTTCTATTATAAGGAGTAAGATCATCGACTCTCGTCAAAGGCGGCATTGTTGTTGTTTAAATACGTTGATGTATTTATAAATTTGTTCGTTTGAGCGTTAGCTCGTTAGTGTGTTCTATGAGGTGACTGACCAAACAAAGGGTGATATATATCGTGAAACACTATACAGTTGGCATACATGCTATAGGAAATATACAGTTTAAAAGGGTAAAGACAAAAATACATCTCGAAAACAAAAACAAATAAAATAATAATCGAAATCTTTAACATGATTTTGTCCAATGTATTTTAAAACAAAATCTTGTTGAGTCAATAATAATTTAAAGTGATAAGTTATAGACATTCAAGGAATATATAATATATGGATATAACAACACCTATATTTAGACGTATTAACCTGTATCAAAAGCATGTGTCATATAATGGTTAGGTTCAAAACAGATAAATAACAAAACTTAAAACTATCATAAAAAAAACGAAAGTAACTAAGTCATAATAACTAAACAAACTCGCACTCATTATCGCCCGCCAAAGAACCTCTGCATGACCGTCACCTCGGGACAAATATGATTGAATAAGTATTGCGTACACCTTTCAGTTGCTGTAACATGGATTGTTCCTGTAAATAAGAAATTTTAAAACGGTTACAATATCGGATTAATTTTTTTAAATCCAATAATAGGAAAAAATATTATATGTACCTTCAAAGAGCTCCAATTTAGCAAATCTGATTATGATGATTTTTACATCATCAACACAACTTGCCCTATCGTTTATAAATCTATTAACATAGAAGCTCGGCAATCAACATGGTATACGTATCCCACTTCATCATAGCAAAACAGGTAGTTAGTATCGTCCATTTTTTTTTAAAAAAAGAAAAAAAAACGAATTGATATTTGTTTATAAAATATAGATAAAATAAATAGTCACCTTCTGTCTTCAATCTGGAAAAAAAAACGACGATTAACGCCTAGCAAAACAGACGCTCTAAAATCGATAGTACGCACCAGCTTCCCAATTAGATCTACGAATTTAGATTGATACGGTTTGATAACCAAGATAAAAAAAAAAAACCTAAATCAACATATAACATATCACTTACCCACACAGTATTTAGGATCTAGGTGACCGTCCTTGACGTCACGAAACTTGACAAAAGTGAAACAATCACTTTGTAAGAAAGACCTTAGTAAAGTAACCGAAGTAAGAGCATTCGAGCGTATGAAAAAATTGTGTCTAGCCGGTCTAAAACACCCTCCTACAGTTCTGACATTAAACTCTGATAAGAGTATGCAATTTCCTTCTATGAGGATGGATGAAAACCGTTGAGCCACGTCAACATCCAACAGGGCGTGGATCTTTTGATGCTGTTTAAGATTTTAATATTATGTTGAATCCTTATAGCACAACGAACTAATGATAATTAATAATTGTTACCTTTGAATCTGCAAGGATAAATTCCACCAGCCTATCGCGTAACGCAGGGCATACGAACCTTCTAACAATCTTCACTTTAATTTTTTTGGTAATCATGTCCGGGTTTAGATCTTTAAGATCATCACAAACATCAAGCCCTTCTTCAAATATAGTGATGGTGCAATGAGAGAGTTGGGTCATTATAAGAAACAGAGACAGAGAGCACCTAGTCTAATAGGTTTATAGATTCTAAGGTGTGAGATATAAGCTTACTTATATACGTAGAATTAAGGTTATATTCGATCTTCCGAATGAGGATAGGAAATCTAACATTATATTAAAAAAATCTCAACTAATAATATTTTTATATAGATTTGTTCCTTTTTTTTGCTGTAACCAATATACGTATGCAAAACTATACGGATATGATAATATCTTCTTTACATTAGTTATTATTATGACGGTGGTTTTCCGTGACCCGAAGGAAAAAAGAATATACACAAATAGAACATCTAACCGAATATTAAAGATAAACAGCGAAGACCAAAAGAAGATCTATGAGTAATTTGTTTGTTAATAAAATACGACATATAAAGGATAAGAATACTGATAAGATAACAACATAATCAAAGTAAATTGAAACCGAATTGTCGACTGATACGAACACTGGTTTGAACACTTATTGATCAAGGCAAAACAGCACACCAATTTTTTTTAAAAAAGATAAACAGAATAGTTCAGTGAACTACAGCACCATGCACACGTTTCAATCTTCAGAAGCGGTAGAACCTGCCTCATTAGCTTCCTCAGCGGCTAATCTAAACCACAATGTAAACAAATGACACGTTAAACACTTTATACATTAGATTTTCGAAAATAAATAAGACATTCAAATATACAAAATGGTACATACATCTCTAGGAATTCTTCAACCTCGGGTATATCCGGGTTGATATCCAACCGGCTACATTTACCAACGGTTTGAACAACATTTTTTCCTTTCATTGTATAATCAGCTATGTCATTATAAAGATAAGCCGAGTTTATTTTTGCCAAGCCAAAACAAACGTATAGAAAACTATATAGTCAGTATATAGATCATATACAAACTATTGTGAATAAAAGTATTACCCGAAGATCTATGAATTCCCCACCACTGTAGCACGCATACAATTCGTTCACCCCTAGCTCTTCTCCATTCGTCATGAAATTGTTCCGCGAAACTCCCGATTGCAATACATTGGATAACATTGTCGCTGAAATAATTTGACGTATAAGTTAGCTTGTTAACTATGTTTATAAAATAGATGCATAAACCCGATTTAAAAAAGTCTTACTCGTGATCTTGAATATCGAACACAAGCACAGCAAAATCATATGTCTGTCTACTTGGGTCAAAATAATGAAGTTCACCAGGATCAACAACAAAACCAATCAAGCCTTGAAAAACGGGAAATGATATCGATAAGAAGAAGGCAAAATTGCAACATAGTCAGAAAATACAATAATTAATGGACAACTAAATAATCTTACTAATCAAGTAGGTCTTGTCTAGAGTATCACCCAAGACCTTAGGAAATGATACATCAGAAAGAGTGTGTTCAAGAGCATCCTTTGGTGAAATCTTGTTCAAAATAGTCGTTTCTAGAAAAACGATCCGGTAATCATGCCTGGTGGTTCTTCTATCTTCGGTAACAGTTTTCAGCAGAAAGTGATGAATAACTACCCAATCACCATCTTTGAATTTGGAGTCCAATCGAAAGATGTCTTTATATTTTATCTTGGCCTCTGTCCTATGATCCTATATATGATAGTACATAAATAGACGATTAGAAAAACATTAAACCAAACAAATTTCAAAATATTCGTGAGAAATATAGTAATCCATGCGTACCCGCTCATCAGCCAAAACCATTCGAACAGAACGACGACCCCTAGCAGACCTCTCGCGCCATTTGTTTAAGACCTTCACCTGGATGGACCAACAAAGTTTAATAGGACTCAAATCGCTGACGTCCTCGTCCATAGCTTACCGGACCTTTCCAAATGAAAACCGAAGAGGTGTAACGTGTTCGTTATAAAACGATGTGTCAAACCAATAGGCATCCTCTTATTTATAATAGGCATAATAATAAATAGAAAACATGGTGACCCTGCGATTATAATTCTGAAGACTACAATTTTTTTAACTTTTTCTATGCATGGTCTTTATTATCAAATCGAGATCTGACAAAACTATTTTCGATATGTACACGAATCTATATACAGGCAGAAAATGACAAATAAGATTTGGCCAAGATACATTCAATCAAACGAATGGGGGAGTGATCGTGTGGTCCTTTCAAATTATAGACCCCTATAAACCTACGATACATATGTCTATAACGTGATTGGTTAGTCTATAACGTAATTGGCATATAAGAGATTGCGATATTATAGAATATCAAAACTGTAACATGTTTTGGTTTAGAGCACGCCAACTTGTTATAATGTATTTATATAAACAACATGTATGAGATTACCATTATTTAATCATAAAAAGCTTATATGGTTTTAAACTCTTGACCTACGATAAAATATCATAATATTTCAAAATAGAAGATGATAGTTTTAGGAAAAAAAAAAAAAACGCTTATAACAATAATAAAATATGACCAGAAGATTTTTATTCGTGCGTAATTTTTGAATAATTAAAATAAAGTGTTTGACTAATATAATAGTGATAAGTCTAAAAGAGACTGGTAAACAAACGTAATTCCGAAATAATTGTTACAACTAAAGTCCATCAGCCCGTCCTGCGAAGTACGTACGCATAGCTGCTTCTTCAGGACATACGGGGTTGAACAAAAGCTTCGTACAGGTGCCTGCAGTAGTTGCCCGCCACTGGCCTATAATTGTATTGCGGATCATTTTTCAAATTTATAAGCAAGGAATAGAGGTCAGAAACGAATACATATAAAGCGTACTCACCTTGAGACATTTCTAACTTTGCGAATCTTAAAACACATATGATGATGTTATCAACACATGTCTTCCGACCATCAAAGAATTCACGTGAATATTCGCTTGGTAATCGACACTGTAAACGCAGACCACTACCAAAAAAAAACGGAGCTTAGAAAATTTCTAGCCCAAAACATGGCTTCAAAATTAAACGTACAAAGACTTACTTTTCGTTCTCTAACTCGAGATAAAAATCTTCTCGTTGACCATTTCTCTCCGTCTCTGTTAAAACACAAGTTTCGTTCAATGGAGGATGAACAAAGTGTCCATTGTCGAAATCAAGATAATCTTGAAATGCCAATGAAAAATATAAGAACCCTTTCGGAGAGGTTATGCATTTCTGCAGCTCGTGACCTCTTCCTAGACTTTGAACCATGAGCTATTTCATTTCTCTCCAAAACAAAAATAAAATAAAATAAGCCTCGACCATTAAAATACACGGGTCAAGTAACTAACACGCACCGACATGGATGGTGGGCAGGTTAATATAGATTTCAGCAATGGTTGCTTCTCTCTCCTATCGTCAGCGATCTCCACCTCCGGTTGTATCTGAATGGGCTATGTTTTGTCTCTGAGTATTATATTCCGGCGATTTACGTGATTAAATATCACTCGTTTATATACATGTACACGTATGTGGAATTTTATTTTCAAATTTTCCTAACCAAAAACGAATTGGGCTCCACGTCCTTTTTTTTTCCTTTAACACAATATAGTATATAATTCTATCTAATCCATAATTTATTAGATCATTTAGGATTAATAAATGCTATGATCCCCATAATTAAATGTTAATTTGTTCGTCTGAGGATAATTTTACCTTCATTACCTACCCCATAATAGGCCATAAACAATAATTCACTTTATGACAGATTAAAAAAAATGAAAATCACTTTTCAAACTTTCTAATTCTGCAAAATTAATTAAAAATCTATAAATTACTTTTAAAATCTATTTGCACTTTTTCTCTTTTGCCTTTTTTTTTTTTGAAATCCAAATTAGTGGCCAATTATAGGAACGTGATAGACAGAATCACATAATCTTTAATAGCTGTCTTGATTAATGCATCAAAAACCGAGGCCAATTCAACAAAAAAATAGATCACACCCAAAAAATAGAAACAAATCTTATTTTTAGACCTAGATTTTAAAAAATCTTCTTTTAAGATATTGCACTTAATTTCAATATATTATAACCAAAACTTCTCTCTTGATACAAACAAATCTCACAAACCTATTTACACAACAAACAACACATATCCTTTTCTCATTCATCAAAAAAACGTAAGCAAAACTCAAAACGTCATTGAAGATGATGATGATGAAGAAGATGTTTGTTCAGATCGTTGTGGTTTGTCTATTGGTGACGATCGCCGTTGTGTCGGCTCAGGAAGGTCACCGCCACCATGCTCCAGCTCCAGCCCCAGGACCCGCATCTAGTTCAACCGTTGTTTCGGCCACCAATATGTTCACCGTCTTGGCTTTTGCCGCCGTGGCTCTCGTCGTTGGTTCCAACCACTAATTTGGTTATTGTACCTATTAGAATCATGTATGATATGTTCACCGTCTTGGCTTTTGCGGCTGTGACTCTCGTCGTTGGTTCCAACCACTAATTTGGTTATCGTACCTATTAGAATCATGTATGAAGAAGTGTTTGACTGAAAGTTTATGTCGTGATGACATCTGATAGTAGAATCAAACCCTCAACTAATATAAACTAATCATATATCCAAACTTACTTGAATTCCCGAAGATGTAAAGCATAACCCAAAACGCTTGATTGGATACGGAAACTATTTTGAACTATGGTTCATGTTTCATTCAGAAACCTAGCCTTTTCTTGGTTTATTTGATTACGACTTCGGTTTGGTCGCAAACGTCCATAACCACAACAAAGATTAACTTAGTCTCAGCTTCAGACATGAAAATATCTTCGGTTAGGGATAACCAAGAGAGTATTAAAAATATAGGATGAACAAAAAGAGAGAAGTGGATTTACCCGCCGGATTCCAAATCATGTTCACGCTCGTGAGAAATTTTGTTCGAGCGATGATTTAAAAAGGACTATGAAGCAACAATGGAACAATCATGCAAGATCTTAGGAACGATGACCAATTTTAAGAACGAAACAACAATGTCCACTATTTTGTACATATCCTTCAAAACAATAAAATCTAATATTTGATAAAATCATATCTAAATTATATATTAAAAATAGACGAAAGGAAAAAAAATCATAAAAATCTGATAATTTTAGATCGTACCCGAACACATCCATTGACATAATCGATCCTTTTATTAGGGTAATTATTCTCGTGAGACAAAAGAAAAGAAAAAAAAAATATATATATATATATAAACAAATTATTATTTTTGAGACGTGTATATCAAATCGAATTAGAGAAATACCTTAGTTTCATTTTCGTTTGCAATTCCACAATCCAAATCGTTTATGCATGTACCTGATCAAAGTAAAAAATTCTAATCAAAGACATAATAATAGTCACGCATATAAAACCAAACAACTACGAAAAGCAAAACATGTAATCGATCAAACTATAAACCTCGTTTAAAAAACTCATCAACAATTGGCAAAGATCTATGAGATCTTACTTTCCAAGTAACCATAACATAAAAAGGAGAACAAAATATCGATGACGACGCATCATAAAAAGGACAAATTTTGAGGTACAAAGAAGAACTATAAACCATAATGACTATGCATAAAAACCAAGCGGTGATGTTTGTGTTTCAAGAGAGACCTCCTATATTTATAGGGATTTCCAACATAGGGTTTTAGGGTTTTACATATGACGGTGTAAATTATATCGGACCATTTTTTAGAAAGAAAATAAGCCCAATAGTCAGATTAGGGTTTCCATACGACGGTGTATATTATAACGGGCCGATTTTTTTTTTTCTGAATCTACGACGACCAAAACGTATCCGGTATATTAACATTTTTTAATTTTCGTTTTTATTTTAATGAATTAATAATTTGGAAATTTCACTAATTTAATCTAATTAAGGGGGGGGCAAAAACGACTGCTCATATTCTGAGAGCGAACATGAGCACTTTCGACTTCTCCTTTAATATATAAGATTTATTTTTATTATATATATGCCGTCCGCGGGGCAATCCGCCAATCTCCGGCATAACCTGCTAAACCCCGTAATCCGAGTGGGATTGCCCGGAAAATCTACATTTTAACGGATTTAATATTTTGTGTTCATACCTGGACCGGACTGGGCTAAGCCCACAATTTTAGGGCCATTTTGATATTTCTATGAGAGATGATGATGTGGAAAAAAGAAAGGTTCTTATTGGATATTAAAAATGAGTTGTATTATTTAGAATGTTTTCATTGGTTATTCATTTTAAATGAGGTGTCAACTCCACAAAGCTTAAAAAAGCTGAGGTGTCAACCTTTGGAGAGTTTCAAGGGTTTTTATTGTATTGATTTTAGTATTTTGATGATTTTTTTTAAAGTTAGTTTTTATATAGAACTCACGTTATTTATGTATGCTTTAAGCCACCAAAATCCAATGATCGGCTTTGTTTGTACTATTTATGCACCTATTCTCATCAAGTGGCAAGTTGATCATGTAGCCCTAGCGCTGTTTAGTTTTTTTCTTGTGTCAATCAACTTGATTGGCAGAAACTACTTTCTTCTCCATTTTTGATCAATCTAAATCATTTCTTGGTTATCTTGTCATCAGATTGCTCATGATGATGATGCATTTCTCCAAGGAGTGGCTCGGCTCTTCCATGAACAAGAAGCTCATGATGATGATGCCTTTCTCCAAGGAGTGGCTCAGCTCTTCCATGAACAAGAATCTATTTTCGTGGGACGGAGGGAGTAAGTAAGTATGGTGGTGCGTTACAAATGAAAGCAAAGCACCCTCATATCTCACACTATCACGACTTTGGAACTTGCTTCTTTACCCTTTAAAGTTTCGCTTGCCAATTTTTTTTTGGTACCAGTTACTTTCTTTTACCTTTTTTTTTTGTCATCCGAAATTAATTAAAGCTCAAAAAAATCATTCCTAAGGAATGTTAAGTTACTTTCTTTTACTTTTTGTAATCAAATGTAACTTTGGTTTTTTTTTTAAATGATGTACCTATATAATAGGCTCAACAAAAATATTAGTGACTAGGTGAAATTATCAAATCTTGATAATTCAAAGGTCTCGTTTATGGGCATGTTCGTTTGATCATCTGACAATTCTATTCAGATGGTCCATCTAAATGTTCCATCCAAATGCTCCATATGAATGTTGTTCGTTTCAATTTTTGGATATTCATTTGGATGAAGCATCTAAATGAACTTTTGTTTGTTTGCTTAATTTTTATAAATCTTCATTTGCATCTACATGACTTTAACAAGAAAATGACTAAAATACTCATACTTTTAATCTAATTATATTTTAATTTTAATCTTAGCTATATTAATTTAATTATTGCTCTAAAATATATTTACAAAGAAATAATTTCAAACTATGATTTTAACATATAAAAATTAATTTTACGGTTTTGGCGGGAAAATATGATTTTACGGTTTTAGCGGGAAAATTTGATTTAGCGAGAAAATATGATTTTACAGGAAAATTAAGTTTTGTACTTTTGGCGGGAAAATATGATTTCACGGTTTTGGTGAAAAACACAATTATTCAATTTTTCGGTTTTGACGGGAAAATAGAATTCCGTAATTTTCCCGCCAAAATCGTGATTTTATAGTTTTGGCGGGAAAATATGATTTCACGGTTTTGGTGGAAAACACAATTCTTCAGTTTTTTTTGGTTTTGGCGGGAAAACAGAATTCCGTAATTTTCCCGCCAAAATCGTGATTTTATAGTTTTGGCGGGAAAATATGATTTTACGGGTTTGGTGGAAAACGTTATTCTTCATTTTTTTCGGTTTTGGCGGGAAAACTATGAGTTTGCGGTTTTGACGGAAAACATGATTTTGCGGTTTTGGCGGGAAAATATGATTTTATAGTTTTGGCGGGAAAACATGATTTGGCGAAAAATATGATTTTGCGGTTTTGGCGGAAAAACATGATTTTGCGGTTTTGACGAATTCCACAATTTTCTATCAAAAATCATGATTTCACTTTTTGGCGGGAAAAAACACAATTCCGCGATTTTATGATTTTGATGGAAAATGATAATCCTTGATTTCACAATTTTTAGAGATTTTTTTTTGGTGCAAATATGTGATTTTTAGAATATAAAATGAGAAATCTAAGAATAATAAATATTATTTGATATATGATTGTAATTTGTAAATGAGGGTATATTTGTCATTTGTTATTTTTGGCTGAATTATCTCCATCCAAATGCTCCAATCATGTTCATCCAGATGAGTTTGACAAATTTGCCTAAAATTACAAACTCATTCAGATGATTCGATTCATCCAACTGATTCATCCAAATTTTCTGTTAAATTGTCAAAAACGAACATCATTCTTCATCTCTATCCAGATGATCCATCCAGATGATATGTGTTTAGTAATTTTCATAAACTCTAACCAAAAAAAGTTTAGTCAAGTAATTTTTTTATATATATCCTCTTCCAAAGCAAACAGACGAAACCAAAATATATATGTAATAATACTTTCTTTTTTTTTTAAATTATTGTTTCAAGGAATCCCTTGTTTCAACAGTTGTAAATTAAAAATTACCATTTTTGTTGTTGTAAAAATTGTATTGAATTAAGTTTTAAAAAAAGCTATGTATTTTTCTTATAGTACCTTAAGTATATCGGTAACTTTTTTTCCTTCACTTTTGTGTCTTTTACAGTTTTTAAAAAAATAGAAAGAACCACCTTCGCTTTCGCTGCTGGTGGAAGGTGGTGCTTCGATACTACGACAAAGAGCAACAAACTAGTAAATCCTCAGAGATCTGAGCCCCATTTTTACTCGACATATCTTTCCGTCACTACTTCTCGACATTCCGGTGTACCGGATTCTGATTCCGGAACGGACATTGCTTCACGTTGGCCTGTAAGCAGATTTCGTTTTTTGCTCTGAGTTTGATTTTGTTATCTTTGTAGTTGATTCAGTAAATTCTTCTCTGATATGAGGAAATTTCTGGGCACTTCTGATTTTGCCGTCTCTAGTGATTTTGAATTGCCAAGACTAGTCTTTTGGGATTTTGTTGAATTTCAATTTTTTCTAAGACTAACCGAAAAAAATCTGATTTTTTTTTCTTCTTATTGTTCCCTTAACGCTTTGATGTTGTTGGATCTTGTGAATATTTAGTATAAAGTTCGTGAATCTAACATTATCTGCTGAATCTATAGTTAAATTTGAAAATGATTTTGAAATTCAATGTAATTTTATGTTTATCATAAACCATAATTTTTTCATGTTTCAGGGATTGATTTACGTTAAACAATATCAACATTCTACTGTAAGATTGAATCTTGATGATCTCGCCGCCCGATTTCTCGTTTGAGTGATTTTGGCTGATAAAAATGAAGAGATTTTATGGAGGACTTCTTGTTGTATCAATGTGTATGTTCTTGACGGTGTATAGATATGTTGACTTGAAAACTCCTGTTGAAAAGCCTTTTATTACTGCTGCTGCTTCTGTTGTTGTTACTCCTAACACCACTCTTCCTATGGAATGGCTGCGGATTACACTCCCTGACTTTATGAAAGAAGCGCGGAACACTCAAGAAGCGTTATCTGGTGACGATATCGCTGTTGTTTCGTGTTTGTTTGTTGAGCAGAATGTGTCTAGGGAAGAGAGAGAGCCTTTGCTTACTTGGAACCGTTTGGAAAGTCTGGTTGATAATGCACAGAGCTTAGCTAATGGAGTTGATGCTATTAAGGAAGCTGGCATTGTTTGGGAGAGTCTTGTGTCAGCTGTTGAAGCTAAGAAACTAGCTGATGTGAATGAAAATCAAACGAGGAAAGGGAGCGAAGAGCTTTGTCCTCAGTTTCTGAGCAAAATGAATGCTACTGAAGCTGATGGGAGTAGTCTCAAGTTGAAAATTCCTTGTGGTTTGACTCAGGGTTCCTCCATCACAGTTATTGGCATCCCAGATGGTCTTGTTGGTAGTTTTCGGATTGATCTAACGGGACAACCGCTTCCAGGGGAGCCTGATCCGCCCATTATTATGCATTACAATGTTAGGCTTCTTGGTGACAAGTCGACGGAAGACCCTGTAATTGTTCAAAACAGCTGGACGGCGTCTCATGATTGGGGCCCTGAGGAACGCTGTCCAAACTTTGATCCTGATATGAATAAGAAAGGTGATTGCAAGTAGAATTCATCCGCTTATATAAATGTAGTCACTTGATCTTCCATGAATAAGCATGTTGACATGATTATAATATACAGTGGATGACTTGGATGAATGCAACAAGATGGTTGGTAGAGAAGTAAACCGAACTTCTTCTACTAGCTTGCAGTCCAACACTTCAAGGGGAGTTCCAGTAGCTAGGGAAGCATCTAAACAGGAAAGATACTTTCCTTTTAAGCAGGGTTTCTTATCAGTTGCTACACTTAGGGTGGGAACAGAAGGAATGCAAATGACAGTTGATGGGAAACATATAACCTCATTCGCTTTCCGCGATGTAATATCATCACTCTTCTTAGATATTCTTCTACTGCTCTTAGCAATTTTTCCATCAAATGTTTAGTTTCTCATGTGGGTTCTTTCGTTCATTCTTTCAGACACTGGAGCCATGGCTTGTCAATGAAGTACGGATTACGGGTGACTTTAGGTTAATATCCATTCTTGCCAGCGGTTTGCCCACATCTGAAGAATCAGAGCATGTTGTTGATGATCTAGAGGCACTAAAAGCACCTCCCCTTTCACCATTAAGGCCACTAGATCTCGTTATTGGTGTTTTCTCCACTGCAAACAATTTTAAAAGACGGATGGCTGTGAGAAGAACATGGATGCAATATGATGATGTAAGATCTGGAAGAGTTGCAGTACGCTTTTTTGTTGGCCTTGTAAGCTTTCTTCCTCTCTGAAAATATCTGGTGTATGTTGGAATTGCTTAATTCTTAATCATGATTTTCTTTGTGGTTGATAATAATGCAGCACAAAAGTCCTCTTGTTAACCTGGAACTCTGGAATGAGGCTCGGACTTACGGTGATGTTCAGCTAATGCCTTTTGTTGATTATTACAGTCTCATCAGTTGGAAAACACTAGCCATCTGCATCTTCGGGGTAATAATTTTCTTTGTCATGTCTCTTCCTTGACACAATTGAGTAGTATATACTGTTTTACCTCACTAACGACATATTTTAAACAGACAGAGGTTGACTCAGCCAAGTTCATCATGAAAACGGATGATGACGCCTTTGTTCGTGTAGATGAAGTACTACTTTCTTTATCAATGACCAACAACACTCTCGGGTTAATATACGGTCTGATCAATTCTGACTCTCAACCTATTCGAAACCCCGATAGCAAATGGTACATCAGTTACGAGGTACAACACAATCTGACATGGCCATGTTTGCAAATAGACTGATTTCTGGATCATTTGACAAAGTTTCTACCCCCAAAACAGGAATGGCCTGAAGAGAAATATCCACCATGGGCGCATGGTCCAGGCTACATTGTATCCCGGGACATAGCAGAATCGGTTGGTAAGCGTTTCAAAGAAGGAAACCTAAAGGTACTGTACCACTCTATGCTAACTCCATTTAGTCACGGATTCACATAGACGTGGATTGTGAAATTTTGAAATTGTGAATAGATGTTTAAGCTAGAAGACGTGGCAATGGGGATATGGATCGCTGAGCTGACAAAACATGGACTCGAACCTCATTACGAAAACGATGGAAGGATCATTAGTGATGGATGCAAGGATGGTTATGTGGTTGCTCATTACCAAAGCCCCTCCGAAATGACTTGCCTTTGGCGTAAATATCAAGAAACCAAACGCTCTCTTTGCTGCCGCGAATGGTAAAACTCAAAAACTTAAACGTTTGTGAGTTTGGTCCGCAGGTACATAAAGAGAAAAGAGTTCATTCTTAGTCACAAAAAATATTTGAATTCGTTTGTTTGTTGTACAAGTAGCCTAGATTTGCAATTTAGTTTAGGTCTATATTACTTGTTTCAGATGTACTAAAACTTTGAACCGATACTTTTTAATTCGATGAGAGTATAGAAAATTAGAAATCATAAGAGCATATTATATACTTTTACAATTTCATTTTAATCAATTGTTATTGCTTACTCTTCACACATGTTAACGTGTAATCCACTAGAGAGTGAGACGTGTCACTTCAAGTGAAGATCCGAAACCAGTGGAACTTTTTCTTCTCTTCTTATCCCACCACCATGCATATAAATATGTGCAACAGCCTCGAGTGTTGAACTAAAAATTCCAGAAACACCCTTCGTCGTCGTTAAGTATACTCTCTGCTATGAGGAGAATTTAGACAAATCATAAATGTTGAGTCAGAGAACAATGTGACATAGGTATTTGGCTATTTGCTAATGGATAAACATATCGATAAGATCAATCATTCTCTTCAACTTAAATTATTTTAGGTCCCATAGGCCATAAGTAATTTACTCAAGAGAAAAAAAGTCTACTCGTTAATAATTTCTAGATCTTTCCGCAAGCAACTCTCTTAAATCTTGAAACGCCAAGTTTCCTTAGAGAATCAAACAATTATTTTGTTTTGAGATGGCGACAGAACAAGAAGCTGAAGTTGGAACAGAGACATCATCTGTTTCCGGAAGATTTTTGAGGAACAGAGATTTATATCTCTTCTTGCCTTTTCTCTTAGGTTTCTCTGATCAAGAATCATCAAACGGAGATGATGATGATGTTGCATCGTCGCGTGAGAGAATCATATTAGTCAACCCTTTTACACAAGGAATGATCGTGCTAGAAGGATCATCGGGAATGAATCCTCTGCTTCGTGACATACTGGAGTCACGTGAGGAAGGTCGTCCTCCTGCGTCCAAGGCTTCCATCGATGCGATGCCGATCGTTCAGATCGATGGTTGTGAAGGAGAGTGTGTGATCTGTTTGGAGGAGTGGAAGTCCGATGAGATGGTGAAGGAGATGCCGTGTAAGCATAGGTTTCATGGAGGATGTATAGAGAAATGGTTAGGGTTTCATGGGTCGTGTCCTGTTTGTAGGTACGAGATGCCTGTTGATGGAGATGAGGTTGGGAAGAAAAGGAACGATGGGAGTGAGATTTGGGTTAGGTTTAGTTTCAACGATGGTCCGAGAATTAGAGATTCTTCTGGTCAGGAAGGTGGAAACAACGATGGTGATGGTAACACTATTGGATCTGGCACAAGACCTGTTGTTGAGTCCGAGGATTAGGATTTACATAAGAAGCTTTTGTAAAAACTTATGCCTTTTTTTGTTTGGTTTCTTTTTGTTCTTGTTTTGGGGAAAAGTTGATAGAGCTTTTTTTTCTTTTCCCATGAAAATTTGTTTTGTAGGTTTCTTTCTTGGTTTAATTTCTTGAATTCATGTATTAGAAGTTGGGGATTTTCAATAACTCTTTTGGTTTAGTATTGCAAGACTTCTTTTTTCTACGAAATTTAGAAAAATAGTGAACACGTTTACATGCCCTTGAAACAATTCAAACTCAATCCCAAGTCTTCACCCTCGTGACATCTAAAACCTCTCTTCCTAATAGGTTGTTCCATGCAAACGGCGCCGTTCCAGCTTCTCTTCTTTTGCTTCATCACTTCCTCTGGTTTTAACTCCATCAACTCAAGCTCACTCGATTTCCTCATAACACTCTGATAATCGCTGTCAGTTTCTAAGCTCTCCGGCAAAGTCAAGGAGCTGTCAACTGAATTTCTCGTCTGTCGAATTCCTCTGTTTTCTTGTTTCTTGGATCCTAAGAAAGCTTCTTTTTCCTCAACCTGCTCTTCTTCATCTACTTGCGTCAGTTCAGAAAAAGAAGAGCTGAGACAGCTTCTGTTCTCCATTGGTGCTACTCTATAGAGTTCGGATTCGGATCTAGCAAAGTCTATGCCGAAATTCGAAGATCTGTAACCGGAGAGTGTTTCTTGAGCTTTAATTAACACTGACTCTAAATATTTCCCTTGTGCCTCTGTCCTCACTTGCAACTGTCTCTGCACCTTAAACAAAAGTAGAAGCTTTCAAGAACTTCAAATTGTATCTGAAGCAAGAAAGCTCTGATTATACATATTGTGTGATTCAATCAGAGGCGTAATGTTGTTTACTTCAATTTGTTCGTGAAGCTTCTTTTCGACTTCCAACTGTATCTCTAGCGCCTCCTTGATATGCAAGTTTCTGCTTTATGAAAATTATTATAATGAATTCAAGAAAGCTGAATCTAGCTATGAAAAAACAGAGTAATCTCTTCTTCTTTGATGATTATTACTTGTTAGGTTGATCATCGTTTTGGGTGACAATAATGTCTAGTTGATGATCTCTAGGATTCTGAGCTTCTAGAATTTCTGCAGCACAAGAAACTAAAATAACCAACAACAAAGGGTGGAATCAGATTTAAACCCACCCACTAGCTCAGATCAAACCTCAAGATTTTGAGAATCTATAGTTTTATAACAACATTAATAAATATACAGATTAACAAATAAAACATCATCATAATTAAAAAATTTCTAACCATCTTCTTGCTTGTTATCAACGAATCTCTTGCTTTTTACCAGCCGATATTTCTGAAAAGCAAAGAAAAATAGAACAAGAATCTGCCAATTTTGAGTTTGTAAATTGCAAGAAATAGAGTAAAAAAAAAAATACTAATTCGAATTAAAGTTTTTTTTGTCAAAAAAAAAAACCTGTAAATGGCTCTTAAGATGGGACAAAGTAAGCTCAGGAATCTCCATAATCCTCATCAAACTCTTGGGCGTCGCTTCTGAAGTCACACATAACAAACAGAAAAAAATGAATAACCAATCAAGAATTGAACATATGACCAACCAAACCACAAACACTTCTTGATTCCTTGATTAAGAGGTTTCAAAAGGACAAAGAAGATGGAAACAGAACTTTCTAGTCCACCAAGTTGATTAATAGCATCGATGAATCTGTTTTGAAGCTCACAACTCCATCTCAACCTCTGCTTAGATTCCTTTGACTTCTGGTCCTTCTTATTATCCATGTTCTGTAGTAACAATCAAGAATATATGATCCCAAACGCAAAAACACTATTCTGGCCACAATAAAGATTTAAAAGAACATGTAGTTGTTGGAGTTTGCTTTTACTCTTGTTCTTCAAATCTTATTCTCACACCATATCTGGAAACATGAGTGGGGAATATATGCTCTCTGGACTCTTTTCTCTTTCTTTTTCTTTTATTTATCTACTTTTTTCGCAGTTTGCGTTTTAGTATTTGACTATTTGTTTCCCTTTCCTCGATTACCTCCGGATTTCACACAACTTTTTAAATATATTTTTCTATATTTTTGGAAGTTTTGTGTAACGCTTTCTTCTTTGACCTGAAGTGGGTTAGACAGAATCTATGATGCAATAATGTCAAATGACAAACTTCCCAAGAAAATTATCCAAGACTGGAGTTTATTAAGCTCATTTCTTCTCCTTAACTCGACAACCCCATTTCCATACTCTTCTCCTTAACTCGACAACCCCATTTCCATACTCTTCTCCTTTGATGTATTTCATGGAATTTCCATAGACTATACTTTAGTATGTAATAAAACGCCAACAATTAAACAATTGTAACCAAGATTAAAAATGTTGTAGGTGTACAAGAAATTTAGTCAATGATCACAAGATATAGTAACAAACTAACAATTATATAATAACAATATCAACCAATTAATATGCTTATTTTTTTACTACTATAAACCACGGAAATGAAAACAAGATGCAACAAATATTTATGAGCCTCTATGGATCCCATGAAAAGCATATAGAATGGCCTCCGTCACGTTTTTCACGACAAGGGGCTGGTTCATAAATGTACCATATACATTCTCTACAGACCCCAATAGGACTTGTTGCATTGTCGTCTCTGTCTGCCCTAAAAATATCAAATTTCTCTTTACTTCCGGGCCACTCGAAAGTGCAATTATACGTTGTTGTTTTGCGAAAATTGACATGAAACCTGAAATCAAAACTAGCTCCAATTGGGAGCGTTTTTATCCCCAAATCTTTCTCTTTATTCATACAATGTACGACCAATGTTGCACGTGTGGTCAATGTGTTGTAGATCACGACATGTTTAGGTGAAAACAGCAAAATTCCATCGATGGAGGAATGATTTCCCAAAGATGACGATTTTTTTAGGATAAATAAAAATGAGAGAAGCAGGAAAGTGAAGTGGTTATTTGTTGAGGAAGCCATGGAAGGGTTTAAAGGTTTGTGACACAATATTTTTCTTTGCTTCGAAAGTAATATATATAGATGGAAAAACATTTATTATATATCTTTTAATTAGTCATTGGGAGGGGGAAATGATGTGAAAATCTGTTATTCTTTAAAAATAATCTAAAAACTAATAATTAGATGATTATATACTAGCATACAAATAAAATCTATCTTTATTTTAATTAATTAATATTTGATATACCCTATAATTTGTCATATTTTAAAGGATGTGAAATTTTAAATAATTCAAAAAAAAACATTTTTTCTTTTCTTTTTTGTCAACATTAGGCCACAACTGGCCGGCCCCTTAGACAAATTTCATCATCAAAAACTTTTAAAAGAAGAAACCGTCTCTACCTTATTTTAATTTAAGGAAAAAAGATTGCTAGCTACCCGAAGTATAAGAGAATACATGACCACACATGCCAAGTTTAAAAATGGATCGTGAAGTACACAAAGTAAATGTATTGCATGCTCACATATACCAACTAACATATGACATGGTGCCAACACCATAACCATTAAATTCCGGTGTAACGTTCGCCGGGATTCGACAACATCCGGTGTTGATCAGAAAATATTCAAAAAATATTATTTTTAATATTATTTTTCTTTTTAATTAAAATATTTAAATAATAAAATTGTAAAATAATTTAACTAAAATAAAATCTCATCGTCTTCCTCTCCTCTGCAAAAGTTCTAGATCTAGAAAAATTGAACAAAACAACTTTTTTCCCTCTCCATACCACATAATCGCATCTTTATGGATCTAAAAGTCCATTTGGTTATTTTTATACATGTTTTATTAATGGAATGTGAAGAATTTATATGAAATCAATGAACTATAGTGAAGATTGAGTTTGCGTTTTTCTTTTTGTGTATATGTTTTCATTTTATGGGTTTTAAGGTTTCATTTGCAAAGTCGAGAGAGTTTATGGGGAACATTAATGGCGTTTGATTGTGAAATTGACACCAAGAAATACTCTCTGTTGGAGGATTTTCATATCGAAAACCAAGAATTTGATGCCTTCTCCCTCACCATAAGCATCTCGTCTTGGACGCCTCAACCGAAGACGAACAAGCCGCCGTCGGTTTCTAAATTTCAAGTCACACTTGTTTCTCTAAATCACAAAGTCTGTAGAACCCCGAACTCCAATCAGATCCAACGATGCCACAATAAAATTGAAATTAGTACCAAAATCCAATTCAATTCAAGATTCCACTTAATTGGTATTCCCTTAATATAAAACAGAGATTGAAGAGAGATGGAATCGAGATCGACTGTACATGGAAGAGGCGAGCTCGAGAGGAAGAAGAAAGTGTTTTTTTTTAGGTAAATTATTTTTGGTTTTAAATAAAAAAATAATCATATTAAAATAATATTATTTTTTTGGTCAACTAGGTCAAATACCGGATGTGGTCGGATTCCGGCGAACGGTACACCAAAATTTAATGGTTATGGTGTTGACACCATGTCTTATGTTAGTTGGTATATGTGAGTATGCAATACATTTACTTTGTGTAGTTTATGATCCATTTTTAAACTTGGCATGTGTGGTCATGTATTCTCCTATACCTCGTGTAGCTAGCAATCTTAATTTAAAGGTGTCCACGTAAAGAAAAGTGAACCCATCATATACCATACAACTAAAGTAAGAGAACTTTAGGCTTATGAAAATATATATATATGCTTGGTCTCTAAATGATCACAGGTCCACAACGATGATTCAATATTGACATGGAAAGAGACACCCAAATACTCTGCCGTAGAATAATCAATTCTCGTCACGGATTTAAAAGAATATGAAACAAATATATGAATGAAATTGCATGGTTATGTAAAAAGCTTATATATGTTTTAAACAATTATTAGAAGAGAAAATTTGACAAATATGTAACAACAATTTCAAACAGATTATATGTCTATTTATTAATATTCCAATACAACACAATGAAAAAAAAAAGTACCATAAATATTCTAAGATGATTAAGAGCTTGATTAGTATGCAGTTCTTTCATGCTTTCAATAATTCCGTCAAGTATTTATTATTCATAAAACTGTGATAAATGATAAAACGTAAAAGATGAAAAGTAATTTTTTTAATTTATCTTGTATGTTATAAAATTATAACTAAACTAGAGAAAATTTGTTCATCTAGCTACTAAATATTAATTTTTTTGGCCTTTGAAAAAAAAACATTTCTATTTAGTTTAAAAGTTCTGTCATTCTATTGATTCCGCTATTTCATAATTTGTCTATTCATCTGTAATCTGACATACCAGTCCCTTAAGATGTGATGTCCATGAAAAACAGAAAGGAGCACCTCCATCGCGTCTAGCACGACATGGACCTGACTCACAAATATACCAAATACATTCTTTACATATTCCACATATACTTTTTGAATTATCGTCTCTATCCGCTCTAAAAATATCAAACGTCTTTGTATTTCCTGGCCACGAGAATGTGCAAGTGTATGTTGTTGTTCTTCGTAGATTGACATGAAACCTAAAATCTATTTGTTCTTGGGATTGGAGCGCACGAAACCCCAAATCTTTCTCTTTATTCCTACAGTGCACGACCAATATTTCATGTGAGTTCAATGTGTTGATGATTACAACATGTTTAGGTGAGAACGGGAAACCTCCATCGACAGATGAAAAGTTTCCAAACGCTAACGACGTTTTGAAGATAACTAGAATTGTGATTAGCACGAAAATGAAATGGTGATTTGCTGAGGAAGCCATGGATGTATTTTTGCTGGTTTGTAATATACTTTTGTTTTCGTGAAGTGGTATTTATTAAGTGAAAACATTTTTGAACTATTACCCTTCTTGTTATTTCCTTGACAAACATTTAATATACCCTATAATTAGTCATATTTTAAAGGATGTGAAATTTGTTAATTAAAGATGTGAAAATCTGTAGGTTATATAGTTTATAATGATGTATCTTCAAGTAAACATGTCTATTGGTTGCTAGCATACAAAATAAAATATCTCATTTAATTTTATTTTTTGGGAATTAAGAAGGTTAGATATCTCAAATCAGCTGTTTTTGTCTAATAGGATTCCGTCTGTCATCTATACTTCTTTAGTAGGTTTTTCTTTAGCCATATTTAGCTAGTCCAATTATTCACAACTATATTTATAGTTTTCTAATAAATAATAAAAAAAAAAACTAAATACCTTTCATCATATATTGACGTCTTCTAAATTGTTAAAGAGAAAAACTTTAATAGTTTTATAGATAAATAAAAAAGAGAGAAGCTATTAATGATGGGATGTTAAAAAAAACAGAGATATATATAGAGAAATCGCTTAATTTATTTTTATTTCTTCTATTTTTTTGTCAACTATTTTTGTTTCTTCTATTTAGCCACTATTCTCTCAAATAATTTACGTACTGCGATGTTTTTTGTTAATTACAAAAATGAAATTGGAGTCTCAACACATTTTCTGAGCTGGAAACGTAAGTAAAAAAGGATAGTGTTTGGCTAATTAGCGTAAAAGTCTTCAAAATATGATTAATCTGAAGAGAAGAGCTTGAATTTGGTGAGGGTAAATAGGGACTCATCAACAAATTAGTAAATGCATATTTTGGGATACTTCTTGACAAGCAAACATATTTGCGTCCATGGAATACACAAGAATTAGCAAAACACACACAAAGAATGAACAACACCACTTAAGCTAAGAGAATAGATAAATATGGATTTTTGTATTTAAACTACTTGAACTAGAAAGTAAACCAATCAAAACCAGCAAGCATATTACAAACAAGCTAAACGTATATGGGTTTTCAAATCTTGTATTCTTTATCTTGAACTTCCCGTTCCGTTGTAAGCTTCGCTTCATCATTTTTGCGTCCAAAAGGTATCCAAACTCCGCTTTTTCTGAGGTGTGCCGGCAAATAATCAAAAGACTTCAAAATGCAATGCAAAACTCCTAAGATGCCTATATATGAAAAGAAAAACGAGCAAAACAATGGTTAAAAAGGGGATATATTAGTTTTTATGCTTGGATATGCTACTACTTACCTTATACAATAATGACACTGATTTCTAACACACATATGGTCGATGTTCATTTGTCCTATGGCATATGGGATGACAACTTTTAACTCTAGTAGTATTTTCTATTAGCCTTGTGAACTGCACACGGTGTACAACCGACGTAGACCAAACAATGTTGCATATTGCCATGTGGAGTTACTCTAGAATTGGCATTTTTGTAAAATAGTTTTATCATGTTCTGTTTTTTATAAACAGGGTAAATCATGAGCTGAACCTAAATTAATCCTCGAGATCTATAGAAATTGGGTATCCTTGCCATTTAAGGTGTCTACGGTAACCCAAAAGAAATAGATCCATGGTTTTCATACAAGAGAGAGTCCTCAATCCATTTGAAGAGATTTTTATAGGACCATTCAAAAACAAAATCTACATTTTAATAACTTACTTATCTATGTCTCGTACTTTTTTTGGATGTGACAAAAAATGTCAATCTTTTCATAACAATTTTCTCTATATCTCTAGAGAGTTTTTCTTTGCCAAGTTTTAGTGTTTCCTTAAGAACTCCAAAATCCAAACTGACGGCGTTTATGTGCTTTAATTACACGGAAACAATTGCTTCTCTTGTGGTATAAATTTATGTGCTATTCATTCTCAACAACCAACTCCGGAAAGTTTGAACTCCAATTAACATTCTTTGACTAGCTTTCGTGCTAGTATAGTAAGGTTATTCTGCTTCTTTCGGATCTACGAGAATGAACGGTGAACCATAAATCGTATATACCATATTCAGTTTGATTGGGGAATGTAATGTATATATCCAAAGAAACAAAACCGTGAATCCTTATGAAAACGTTGCCTCGTGATTAACGTCTTGACGAATGTGCATGTCGTGAATTCAGAATTGCATGGTTATAATAGAAATCTGATATATTAGCACATGAGAAACTAACAAATATGTAACGACAAATTCATACACCAAATTATTTTATTTTATTATTACTAAAGTAAATGAAGGGGAAAATACAAGATATTTTTAAAAGACTAAGAAGCCCAAGGAAAACACTGAGGCTGGCCTCCATCACGTTTATCACGACAAGGAGCTGGCTCATAAATACTCCAAATACATTCGCTGCAAACTCCATATTTACCTCTTGGATTATCGTCTCTATCCGCTCTAAAAATATCAAACGTAGCTGTATTGCCGGGCCACTCGAAACTGCAAGTGTACTTTGTTGTTTTGCGGAGATTGACACGAAACCTGAAATCAAAACGAGCTAAATGTTGGAGGCTTATTACCCCTAAATCGTCCCCTTTGTTCCTACAATGCACAATCAACGTTGCAAGTGTGACCAATTTGTTGATGATGATAACATGTTTAGGTGCGAATGGAAAGAATCCTTCGGTGGACGAATAATTTCCAGATGATGGCGACGCTTTGTGGACAACGAGAAATAAAATTAACACGAAAATAAAATTTTGATTTGTTGAAGAAGCCATGTGTGTGGTGGTTTTAGTTTAAGACTTTGTTTATTCGGAAGCAAAATTTATAGATCAAATAACATATAAGCTCTCTTTTTTTTAACTGCAAAAACTATATATTATTTTTTGGGACAAAGGATGTTAAAATCTTTAGTTTATAACTTATAACAATGTATTGGCGATTAATATATGGACTATGGAGTCTACTCATGTTCATTAATAATTAGTTAATTATAACCATACTAATTAAAATCTATATTTTATGCTTTCTAAATTAATATTATTTTCTGGTAACAAAAATGGTTAGATTTATGGTATTTTCTAATTTTCACCTATAGAGCTATTTGTCTTTCAATTATTCATAACTATGTAATTTTAGTAAAAATTACATATTTATATCAAAAAAAACTACTTTTATAATCTTCTAATTATATTTTCTTAACTTTTAATTTATATATTTATTAATATCATTGTTATTTATATATCTTCTTATTAATAGTAATTTCAAAATTTATGAATATTTATTAAAAATATCTAAAAAATTCAACATGCGAGACGCGCGGATTTTCTTTTATTTTGTGTTGTAAATAAGTGTACATTATTTTTTATTTCTATTTATTTATGATCCTAATAATCACTCCCATCTATTGGTTTTCGGAATATTTACTTGTTTTTCTAAATTTGGTTCATCCAAATCATGATGTTACAATAATTTTATTTTTATTAGTTTACCATGCATTTTCATTATTTTGTGCTTATGTATCACAAATTTTTAACTATTTTATTTAATTTCATGGTTATAAGACCTACTGGTTAGAATTTCATGGTTATAAGAACAACCTAATCTATCTATTATCATAAGACAAACTAAAAATATGTAACCACAAATTCAAACACCAAATTATTTTATTTTATTATTACTAAAATAGATGAAAGGGAAAGTACAAGATATCTTAATATTTTTAACTGACTAAGAAGCCCATGGAAAACATTGAGGCTGGCCTCCATCGCGTCTATCACGACAAGGAGCTGGTTCATAAATACTCCAAATACATTCGCTGCAAACTCCATATTTACTTTTTGGATTATCGTCTCTATCCGCTCTAAAAATATCAAACGTAGCTGTATTGCCGGGCCACTCGAAACTGCAAGTGTATGTTGTTGTTTTACGGAGATTGACACGAAACCTGAAATCAAAACGATCTAGAGGGTTGAGTCTTATTACCCCTAAATCATCTCCTTTGTTAGTACAATGTACAATCAACGTTGCACGTGTGACCAATTTGTTGATGATGATAACATGTTTAGATGAGAATAGTAAAAGCCCATCGGGGGACGAGTCATTTGCTATTGATGCCGACGTTTTGAGAACAAAGAGAAATAAGAATAACACAAAAACAAAATTTTGATTTGTTGAGGAAGCCATGAGTGTGTTTTAGTTTAAGAATTTGTGAGATAATAATATTTGTTCTGTTTGAGAAGCAAGAATTTATAGATGAAAATACATTAAATGTATTTTTTTGTTTTAGTGCAAATTATCTTCTGGGATAGAGATATGGAAATCTTTAGTTTGTAACGTAAAATACAATTACAAGCATACTAAATAATAAAATATATATTTAATGGTTTCTATATCATATATTCTTTGGCAACAAAAATGGTCAAACTTATGGAATTTTTTCTTTTTTTTGCCTATAAAACCCTGATTGTGTCATTTAGTTAGCAGTGTCTTCAATAGGTAATTATATATCTAATTATTAACAACTATGCAATTTTAGTATGAAATTGTAACGTATGTGATACTAAATAAGTGCATGAATCACGCCAATAAATCAAATTAATTTAAAAACTGTTTGAGCAAGATCTACCTAAAACCACAACTTATTGATTTCTTTTCTAGCAACAAAACGTCTTTTATCACTCTAAACCAGCTTCAAACACATCATGCACAACAATGTGTTTGTGTCTCACGATCACGCACGTGAGAAGCTAAATTACCAACGTGGTAAATCTTTTGTTGTGGATTTTGTTCTATTAGATAAATAAATAATAGTATAGAATAAGAGTAAAAATAAATGGTCCAACATGATAAACATAGCACTTTACCTCGATTTTAACCACCGCAACCTTGATATCATCTCGAAGAGAATGATGATTGTTGTCTTGTTGATAGGGACGACAAAGACAATATATAGTTTTTATAATCTATATATTGGTTATCCGTATAGAAATTAGTTTTTATAATCGATGTTTAGGTTATTCATATAGTAATATCTAATTTTAGTAGTCAATATTTTGGTTATTCGTATAGAAACCAAAATATTATGTACTCATTCACAAAACCAATTGGAACATTTCTACCATAGCATTTTGAAATGATGTATGGCAGCTGGCATTTTTGTAAATGTTTTCGCATTATTGTATTTATAATTTTTTATACGAATATTCCAAAAAAAATTGTACATTTTAATGACCAAACAATTTTTGACGTGGCTAAAAAGTAAAGGAGGCAAATCTTTTTAGTGGCACTGAAAGAGAGATCAAAAAGAGCATGAAAAGAGATAGCAAAAGGCCACTTTTTGCAACAACATGTGGCTCTCTCATCTCTTCATGTCCCTCTCTCAGCTGACGTGTAATTTCTCCATTTTCTTTGTCTTTATGGCTTGTGGCTCTGTGTGATCCATTATTAATTTAATACCAACCTCAGCCTCTTATACATACTCTTGCCTCAGACCTCAAATAAAGAATAAACACATAACCATAAATCTCAATTAATCTCTACTTCATCTTCTTTCTGTTTTATGTCTTCAAAGATTGGTATGTCTCAAGTTAGAGATACTCCGGTTAAGTTGTTTGGCTGGACAATTACACCGGTTTCTCATGATCCACACTCTTCTTCGTCCCCTGTTCTTCCTGATTCTTCCTCGTCTTCCTCATCTTCTTCTCCATCACTTCGACTACACATGGTATGTTCCATGGTCTTACCTTATTAGTTAAGAAATGCTAAAGATTGAATAATATCTCTAGTCTTTTTATCAGTTTGAAACTAGTTCATGATGTTAATTCTAATCCAAGTTCCTTCAAAATTTTCAGATGAACAACCAATCTGCTACTGACAATACAAGTCTTAAGATATCATCTAATCTAAACAACGAGTCGAAAGAAACATCTGAGAACAGCGATGACCAACACAGCGAGATTACAACAATTACATCGGAAGAGAAAACAACTGAACTGAAGAAACCAGACAAGATTCTTCCGTGTCCGAGATGCAATAGCGCAGACACCAAATTCTGTTACTACAACAACTACAACGTTAACCAGCCACGTCACTTCTGTAGAAAATGTCAGAGGTATTGGACTGCTGGAGGATCCATGAGGACCGTCCCAGTAGGCTCAGGTCGTCGCAAGAACAAGGGATGGGTTTCTTCAGACCAGTACCTGCACATCACTTCCGAGGATACTGACAATTACAATAGCTCCTCAACGAAGATTCTAAGCTTCGAGTCTTCGGACTCTTTGCTTACTGAGAACACTAAGCATCAATCAAGCAATGTGAAGAAAAACGGCGATTCTGTTTCACAAGAACTCAACAACTTCCAAGGGTTTCTTCCTCCGCAAGCATCCCCTGCTTCGCCTCCTTGGCCTTACCAATACCCTCCAAACCCTAGTTTCTACCACATGCCCGTCTACTGGGGCTGTGCGGTACCGGTTTGGTCTACTCTAGGCACTTCTACATGTCTTGGGAAAAGGACAAGAGACGAAGCTTCGCATGAAACTGTTAAAGAGAGCAAAAATGATTTTGTGAGAACAAGCTTGGTTTTGGAATCTCGAAGTATCAAAAATGAAACAAGTACGGCTACAAATAACCATGTGTGGTATCCGGTACCGATGACCCGCAAGAAGACAGAGCAATTCAGTTTTTTCATTAATGGAGCTGAAACAAAGAGCAGCAACCAGAGATTCGTCCCTGAAACGTATCTTAACCTGCAAGCAAACCCTGCAGCCATGGCAAGATCTATGAACTTCAGAGAGAGCATATAACGTTAAGGAGATACTAATATAGAATAATTGTACGTATCTTAATACAAGAAGCTTGCTCTGTATATTGATTGTTACCAAGTAGAAGAAGAAAAAAAACTTTGTAGATATCTTTTTTGTGTGATGAAATTGTAGACAACTTTTAACTCTATCTTATCTATATACCACAATTCCCATTTTGTTCATTATCCTAACGCTTGGATAAGCTGAAGTTTAATGTAATTTTGATAAGTGGGACTCGAAAATACTATTGTTTATCCCATTAATTATAGTGCTAGTGTATATATTAATTTGGAAAAAGAAACTAAGAAAATATGAGTGTGAATTTTCATGTAAAGGAGAACAAATAGAGAATCTTAACTTTCAGTTCTTGGTACAGAACCCATCTGATTGGCACAAACGAAAAGCTAAAGGAGAAGCATAAAAGTCTCTTTCTTTGAAAAATAAAATAAGTCTCTTCATTAGCGTATAAAGGGGAACAAAAAGAAGAAAACACTTTAGGAACTTTTTTTTCTCTCTTTAAGCACTTTACTTTGGAAGAATTACTAAAATGAGTGGAAAAATTGTTACTTACTAGAATTTTTTATCTTTTCAAAATTACTAAAAAAACTTTTATGTATTGCAAGGCGGAGTAATTCGAAAATCACTAGACACTAGGATGTTTGTTCTACCAAAAAGAGAGACTCGAGAACACCTCCGAAAGAGATTGGGCCTAATGAAGCAATTTCAGGCCCAATGGGCAAATTGAAAAAAATTCAAGAACAACGTTAAACATTCATATTTCACGAATTGAACAGTGTCCCTGTTTTGGTGAGAGAACAATAGCAAATCGTACGTACCGTTTTTGCTTACTCTTGGTCTCGTGTGTTAATTTTAATAGTAAAACACAAACTCAAGAGACTTCAAAAGAAGAAACGTTATCTTGGTATTTCAATCTCCACACCTAACTTTCTTATACTAGTTATCGACCGAGTCTTCTCTATAACAACCTTTTCAAAATCCGAAAACCCCTACATTTATCAACGTCGTAGATTTTAAAAACTCATATCCAAAACCAAAACTAATTTTAACACAAAATAACAAATTAATTTAAAATTTTCTTTTATATCTACAACATGAAAAGAAACAAAAAGGAAGGGCATGTGTGGGTCCGCGTGACATGAGAGAGACACATAGGTAAGAAGCTTGGAGAGTTGGAAAAACGGTTTGAAGAGAAGAAACAAATGCAATGTGTGTGTGAGATTTGGTGAGCATGTTTCATGTTTGGCCTTTCTGTTGCACAATCTCTGCCTCAATCTTTGGCAGTTCCTCTTCTCTTAATTACGCATCTTCGTCTCTTTCTCCAACTCCTTAAAAACTCCACTCTTTTAATTTCCCTTCTCTCTCTCTCGTTGTTATTCTCATCACATCTTTAGCAATATTTCACGTCACTTCATCATAAAAGAATCACCTTTTTTAAAACAATCTCTCGAGCTAAATATTTATGAAGGAGGTACTAAAAACAATAACTTATCAAATGTTAGGGCATCCTTAATGGGGGAACTGTTTTGGGTGTTCTTAGAGTAAGAATATTATTAAAATAATGTAAGATCAGGAGTTTAGATCTTTTGTTAATAAGTTGGTTATTGGGAGAACATGTGTAAGATCATAAGATTTAATAATATAATAATAAAAAAATATTACAATTTTAAAAACTTGTAAAAATAACATTTAAATTGAAAACATAAAAAACTTATACTAAAATTCAAAATACAAGACCAAATTTTTATGAAACAAAAAACATTAAAGATATAAATGAAAAACATAAAAACAAACAAACTTCTTACTTAATTAAAGCACACAAACATTTTATTTAAGTAATACAAAGTTTAATGTCCAAAATTATTCCATATATTCCATAATTAAAGCACACAAACATTTGATTCTTTCGGTAGAACAAATGTTTTCTCATTTGGAGGCATTGATGAATTTGTCCACAGCCCACGTGTGCTAAAATTCGGAACCACTAGAAAAGTGCCACGTAGACCGAAGAACAAGGGTTAAAACACATCTTGGGCAAGATCGATTCTCTCTGATCCAAGCCCACTATTCATTATTTCCCAATTTTAATAATGTGAAGAACATGACCCAAGTTATGCCACTGCAGATGGCCTTACACTAGACAGCCAAGTGCCAACAACAACAATCTACAGTTTAGTAATTAACGTAAACACAAGGACAAGGGCTTGGATCTTGGTTTGTTTTGTTTTCTAGCTACTAAAGCTAACTGCTATTTCTTTTGTAACCAAATTTAACCACTGTCATTAACTTATTAACACCAATTTGTTCAAGATTCACGCAGTCCCCAAGCCAAGAAAATCGAAAAAATGTGGTTGCTGCTTAGCCTTATCGACCACCTCCTCATCTACCGCTTCCATTCCGATCCAATGCATTGCTTCATTTGGTTCCGCTTTCTCTTGGCTCCTAGGGTCAATGAACGAAAAATTGCATAACGCGTCTGACGTGGCACCAACATTATCGCCGACCATCATTTGGTTGCCAAACATACTCACAACCATCGGAGGTTCATTGCTCTCATAACCTAAACGTTATAGATACACCCAAAAAGTTCAAAATATGCTAAAGACAATTGAAAAAACTATTGAAAGAGGAGAGGAAGAGCAATAGACTACCTTGAAAGCAATGGAAAGGCAACACAAGCTGGTTATGGTCACTCGTGATAGGGGCATTATTAACCAGGTGATGAGTCAAATTAAACTCAGGGAAAGGCTGAGCGAAGTAATGATTAGTGGAGATAAAAGAGTGGTAATTAGGGTTAGGGTTAGGATGATGGTTATCAGTGAGGTGAGGTTTAAGTGGATTATTACTCATAAGCTTCCTCCTACGATAAGCAGAAGAGTGTTCTCTATACTTACGAGCCATGACAACATGCCAATGGTTCTTGACAGAATTATCAGTTCTTCCAGGGAAAAGCCTCGCAATCATTGCCCATTTGTTACCATAAAGCCTATGTGCTTGCATCAGCCTCTCCTCTTCTTCCTCCGTGAAAGCTCTTCGGTTTATCCTCGGGTCCAATTGGTTAAACCATCGTAGTCTACAGCTTTTTCCTTCAAAAACAATCAAGATTTAAGTTAATAAAACTCATATCTTCGACTTTATGACTCAGATTGGACATAGAAGGCCAAAGACCAAGAAATTTTTTTTTAAAAAACTTTGATTTTATCAGCGGATCTTAATAACTTTGACTGACCCAGATGAATCAAACAAATTGGTTTTGATGAAATTTTGAAGATCTATTAAAAAAATTTGATTTATATTACCAGATCTTCCTTGAAGCTTTTCAGCTATGAGGTTCCAGTTTTGTGGGCCGTAAATGGAGACAAGCTCTTTGAGTTTAACATCTTCAGCTGGCCTCCAATGTCCTCTCCCCAAGACCGATGGTTTTGAAGATGAAGAAGACCAAGACTGACCACTATCTGTTGTCTCCTTCTTACCACTCTCGCTGTTACTAAAATTAGGGTTATGATTATTACTCTCTTCTTCGTTAGCCGCTACATCTCCAGGAGGACTCTTCAAGATTTCAAACTCATGACTTGTGTTGCAGTGACGATGATGAATGTTATTGTCGTTGAAAGGGAAATCCCAAGAAGAAGAAGAAGCTCTTCTTGCGGCGATCTCATCCATCCACACTTGTTTTTCCGTTATAAACATGGAGTTAGTGTTGGGAGAGAGGAAGAAGGAGAAGAGAAGAGAAGTGTAATTGAGATTTGAGAGAGATGTCACGTCAGCTTTTAGACTATTACCATCGGAGGAGAAGACTTATGTGAGTGCATTTGCATATTATATATATATACACGTACGTAAATGTGTGTCATAAATATTTCTTTTTAAAAATAATAGAATATCTTTTATATATAATGGTGTGTTTGTTACGTATGGCTTTAGGTATGTGCGTGTATGTACATGTCGCGACCGTGTTTTCTGACGACTGTTAAAAAGGGGTTATGGACCGTCGTCACGGACTAATTCAAACGCCAGAGTTCTTTGCATTATACATTATTATATATACTACTGCAATAAGTAAGTACAAATGTGTATTATCGATATTCGATTTTGCTGTGGACTGTTGTAAACTTTGTTCAGGTGTACTTAATTTTTTCTGATAAATCATTTATTTCGAAAATAACTAAGATATGAAAACAAAAGTTTACTCCATGTCCATAGATTGATAATAATTAAGAAGTAGGACTTAATAATCAGTTCAATATATTATATTATTAATAAGGTTACTGAGGAAATAGTTTTATAATCATATTAGTGTTCCTAATCAAATGATAACCTTAATTAGGCAGCTTCTCTATGGTCCCTTATACAAATTTCCCACTTATATGAATATTTAATTTGTAAGATAGTACTTCCTTTTTAATGAAACCCAATGGATTATGACAAAATAAATTAATGTGGCGATTGTCGACCAAAGAAACAATGAATGTAGTGAATATCTTGGACGAGTCCAAAATGAATCCTACCGTTATTAGGTGAAATTTATCCTGTATTAATCAATGCATGTTTTATAGGTGCAAAGTGAAAAAGTAAAAGCTAATGAGATGAAAGAAAAAAGCTATGCCTCTGGGACCTCAACCCCTATGCCTCTGGTAGTTGGATTTGGAAAAAATTGTGCAAGCTTAGACCGCTTGCGAGACCTTTTGTGGTGTGTGAAGTGGGCTCCGGTGTCACGGCTAGCTTTTGGCGTGATAACTGGACGGGTCTCGGTCCATTGATTACCTTGGCAGGTCCTTTAGCTCCGCAGACGGTTGGCTTACCGTATGATGCTGTAGTGAGGGATGGCTTAAGAGGTTCTGACTGGTGGCTGTCTTCTTCTAGAAGTCGGAACCAAGTTATTTTAATGCTCAAGAGTGTCCTGCCTTCTGCTGAGAACATGCTTGAGTGTGTGCATGATGATTCTTACCTTTGGAAAACAGATAATCATGCCCCGTCAAACATTTTTTCTACGGCAAAAACTTGGCAGGCTATTTACCCGACTACAAGCTCAGTGCCTTGGCATAAGGCTGTGTGGTTTAAACATCACATCCCTAAACATGCCTTTATTTCTTGGGTTGTAACTTGGAACAGGTTACATACTAGGGATCGTCTCAGAAATTGGGGCCTTTCTATCTCCTCTCTATGCGTCCTTTGCAATCAACAAGATGAATCTAGGAACCACTTGTTTTTTGATTGCGAGTTCAGCTCTGCGGTGTGGAGACACTTCACTTCGAAGGCGAGACTTACCTCTCCGCCTATGTTTATGGATTGTCTCCAATGGTTACTTTCTTCTACCAGGGATAGTAACTTAGCGCTCATACTTAAACTCCTTTTCCAAGCTTCCATCTATTGCATTTGGAAGGAACGGAATGCCCGGGTTCATTCGGGAGTATCTAAGACTCCTTCTATCATCATCAAGGAGATTCAACTCATCGTCCGAGCACTTCTTGATCCTCTTTCTAGGTTGCAAGCTGCTAGGCAGCCTGGAACTTCCTTCCTTTGTACTTGGTTTCAGGTTTTCCAGCTAAGGTAATGGTAATGGTACTTTCTTCAGGCTTGGGTCGCTTCTTCTGCAGGATTTTGTGCTGCACCATTGGACCCTCTCTGTTTCTTTTCGGGCACAGTCTTTTCGTCTCAGGTGAGTCTCTTTCCCTTTGCGTTATGGGCCTGTTTGTTTTTCTCTGGCTTGTGTGCCTTGTCTGTTTTAGTTTAAGGGCCTACGGGCCTGTTGTATCTCCCTTTTGTTTTTCCCTGTTGGGCCTGCGAGCCTGTATCGGCTTTTGCCATGTATGTGTTGGGCCTGCGTGCCTTTTTGGGCTTTTTTAGCCTTGTATTTTCCCCTTTTTTAATGGAAATTTAAAGTTAAAAAAAAAAAAAAAAAAAAAAAAAAAAAAAAAAGAAAAAAGCTGAAGCAGAACTAACTACCAAAAAAGGATGAAGGCAAAAAGAGAGTTTACCATTGGGGAATGAGTCGTGTCTCTTCTTAGCACAACCAATTCTCGGACAGTTTTTTACTTTCCTTTCATTTTTGGGTTCCTTAAAATTTACCTTTTTTCCCTTTAATCTCCACTTGTCTTTCTTTCCTTTACTTTTTAGTTTTTACTACTACCATTTTGTTTCTGTGAAACCCTCTCTTATCTTAAAATTTTAACCTCAATCTTTTTTCTTCAATCAATTTTTTTCTTAATTAACCATCGCTTCACTATTCCCATTTTCTCCATGTCATGTGTATCAAATAATCCTGAATTTTCATAACATCGTTATTTTTTAATACTATTGTATTCCTTTTTTCGCAGTCTCATGGATTTTACAAAGCTATTTTATGAAAACTCTCAACCCTAAGTATCCCACATATATGAGGAATGTGGCCGTGTGGATGTGTGTATAAGTAATGAGCATGAACAGTAAAAATAAATAAATAATCTGTTTCGAATTACGACCTTTTCGTATTTGACCAGAAACCCCAATTGGCAGACGTAACCATTAAATATGGGATAAATATTATCAGATTCAAAAGGGTCTCAGAACTGTACGATACTCTGCACAGAGATTTAACCGAACGCACTACGAACTCTCTTTTCTCTTCGTCATATTTTTTTAATTGGTCAATCACTTTGAAATGCATATTGATATCATATTTGAAATATTTAATTTGATGAAACAGAAGTTCTGCATCTTTTATTTAATTTTATAATTTAATTTGCAGAACCCGCATTTATAAAAGTTGTAATCTAATTATTATATTTTTACCGTTTTAAATCTAAAAATGTAGCGGTGAAATAAAATATGGTGAAAGTAACACACTAATATGTTTGTTTATAAGAAGACTTAACAACCCAACTGAGAAGAGCCACACTAGCTAAGGTGGGGACTGCCGGACTTGCTTCTTCTTTTGTTTTGTGTGAATCCATCTATTTACCTTGTTTATAATCTAGTAGACTAGTACTAGATTTTCGATTGAACCGATTCATTCCTCTAAAATTTTAAATTATTATAAACATAAAGTTTTATTCACTTATGGAATTCTAAATAAACATGTTAAATGTTTACATAATCCTTGAAAAGTAAAGATATCATATAACTTGGAAGATATTAATGGAGTTTGATGTTACCGCTTGATCGAGTGTGGCTTGTTTTGGTGAGTGAATAACTGAATAAGCAACTACATCATTCTGGAAATAGATGTATTTAAAGCTCATATAGTTGCTTGCAGTTTCGGGTGGATATAATAGTCTATGGTCCATGTGTGACTCTGTCCAAAGTTGATTTCAACCTTGAACATATATACCCATTTTCTACATAGCATTGAAAGTTTTTTCAGTTTGCCACAAAATACATCAAATGTGTAATAAGGAATCACTAAACCGTTGGGATTAATCCAAAGCTCAAGTTTACTCGTCTGACATAATCTAATTTTTACTTTCCCGACCACTCGGAACTCTTTATTTCTGTCTACAAATGTTCTCAACCTTAGTTATTCATGGGTGAACTATTTAGGTGTTACAATGTCCCCTTGTACGATAATGTTTAATTTTGTTATACGTTTGCTCAGGTATGTGTTTACTCCTTTATATCAAAGACTCTTTTTGACGTGACAACCAGGTGTCTATTATGTGATTAGTTATCTTAGACTAAAATAAATAAAAACAAAGGTATAAACTTATTTACATGTGGGCTTTTTTTTTATCTAACAAGAGTTCTTGTTCGTAGATATTTTAGATTTCTTCTATAATTAGTAGTCAATGCAAGTAAGCATTGAGTTCTTAGAAAAATAAAATCCGTTTTAATTTAAAGAATAAGGACTGGTAATAGCTTTTGCCTAAAATAAATATGGGTAATGATAATGAAAGGTGGAGATGATGAACACGTGCACATTAAGAGTAACATAGGATCCAATTCAATTCAAAGGAGAAGTCTTTTCTCTTCAACTGTGATGCGTCCCCATGGTCCGATTTTGGCGTGTGATGTCGCACAAACATCACGTGTATTCTCCTTATTGTACTACACCCACGCACGATCACAATAAATCTATCGAACAATCACAAACACTTAGGGAATATACTTGCTTAGAAAAGAGAAAACTATAGAACAAAACAAAATCGAACTAGTTTGGATTTTGCCTATGTTAAGTTCGTAAAATATCTAGTCTGATATAAAACGACAAGGTTAAGTGTACAATTTTATAAGTAATAGGATTACATCACCAAGATATGAATGTCATTCAATGGGTTTTTGAGACGCTAGCTATAGATATGCATTTCATTTCACCCATGAGTTTAGTTATAAATATTAACTTGTCAACTAATTCAAATAATTTCAAATGCTAATCAATCACGTTATTTCGTGAACAACAAAAGTTAATTACTACTTTATTTAATTATATCAAACAAAAATTTAATCATCCTAAACTAGATTTTTCAACTATTAAGAAAACTAATTAAAAAAAATGATAACTAATTTTTTAAAAATATTTTGGTTGTTTAAAAATTAGAGACTCTTTAACTACTTTTGAATTGCAACTCTTCAATATAACAAAATATTAATATATTTTTTTGAAAAATATTTTAATATATAAATTATAAATTATATAACTGAAAATAAGAAGTATTAATATTGTTTCTATACGTGCTTTTGCGAAAATTCAAAGTATTTAACCAATAATCAGTTCAGTTGAATTAGGTCTGATTTGGTTTGAGTGTAAAGAGATTTTTATAGTAATTAATGCAACAAGGTGCCGATTTGAACTTAGAAAAAGAGGAGAAACTAGTGAGGAAACAGAAGTG